TATGGAGGCCTAATATACGGGAACCAATCATAAATGGATTCGCATCGTATTTACTCTCAGTATTAAAGGATTCCGGAACTCGGCAGAACTTTCGACCCACAGTGTCTGTGCAGCCTGTGCGGGTGTCCAAAACAATCGGCCTGCAGGCACATCCTCGCTCCGACGCGACGCGACGGCGGCCAAACAGTGGTTGATGGGTTTTATGTGTGAAGCGCGCATCAACAGGTCCTCAGTTCTGACATCAACAGGTGCAAAAGCGGGGGTATCTTTTAAGTTTCAAATCTGTTGCTGCTTTCGGTCGTATCCTCGCCCCCCCCCCCCCCGCTCACGTCACCGGCCCCCTCGCCGCCGGTGACTGACGCCCCGCGTTGCGTTTCGCCGTGTCTCTTTCAGTCGACCTTAATTAATTCGGAATCTTGACTCCCGGGCTTGGCGCTGTTGCTCCTGCATTTTTTACCGCAGCTCCGAGAGGACTTATATTCGACTCAATTCTTTCGATTTCAGTTTGATTTCCTCTTATTAGGCAGAAAACACATTTAGGGAAAAAAATTTCGGTTTATTTACTAAGAAAAGGGTAAAATTGCCAGGAATTCAGGGTTCTATTTGATCCCAGTTTTTTCTTGGTAAAATTACCATTTATTGAATTGGTAATTTCACCGAGAAATCTCGGTAAAATTATTGAGCTTTCTCGGTAATTTTACTGGACCTTGGTAAAAACGCCAATATTTTTTATCGACTGTAGTAAAATTACCGAAATAAAATGGCAAAGTTACCGGGAATTGATTACCAATAAAAGTGGTATTCTTACCTGAAAAAAAAAACAGTAAAAATACCGGTTTTTAGGTAAGCTTACCAGCCTGTCTTGGTAAAATTACCAATAATTGGTAAAAAAAGTGAGATGGTAAAGGTACCAACGGACCTTGGTGAAAACGCCGAGTTTTTTTTTCAGTGTATTAGGCAGAGAATCTAAAGAAATCACGACGGTGGGTTGACGTTTCCGCACAAAATTTCCGATTTTGATATTCTTCCACACGAAAACCTGGATTGACATTTCCGCACAGAGTCAGTAAGCGAACCCCTATTTTTGGCCCGATTTGGCAAAACCACACAGATATTTGAATCATGTTCCTCTTATTCACACGCAAAAAATGTAAAGGAATTAGAGGGAAACATTTTACTAACCTATTGTTCATCTGGGATCGCTACATTTTTTGTAAAATATACCACGGAGCAGCGTAAGTTTTTTCATCTTTTGATGGCAAAAAAAAGTTACCGGATGTGGTAGGGAAATATTGTGTGCGGAAATGTCAGTCATAATCGTTGCCCGGAAATGTCAAAATCCTATATTTTATGCGGAAAATGAATACCATCGTCGCGACAATCCGTTGAATTAGGCATTTTGTCGAATGCCTAGGTGAATAGTCAAACACTTTTACTTGGATTGTAATTCTGATTCTTTCGATAATTTTAGACAAAATAATTATTCTCCCAGGTTTATAGGGAGTTTCTGTAGAAATTTGCATCAAACAATTGTAAAATAAATTAGATCTAGCCCTTGAACGAGCTTTTATCTCGGGATTTTCAGTACGTCATGTAATACCGAATTTTCAAAATATTAAAAAATAAAATTTATGAGAAGCATCTGGAGAGCAAAATACAATATCAGTTCGCAGTTTTGATGAATTATTACGTTCAAAACATTGAAAACTTGATCCTTCCTCGTCAATTCGAAGTGCAGAGCGTTGCGAGTTTCTGGCATCGCGTTAACGCGCCTTCAAATTGGCATGTATGCAACACGGGCATCCATCAAGTACGAATAGTTGTATCTCTGCGCCGTCAACAACGTGCGTTGAGATACTTACCTACAAATGCTGGACGGACCATCCAGTGGGCCGCTTCGTGTCGATAAAAATTCAGGGTATAATTTGAAATATATTCGATGGAAATTTGAACTGGTCTAAGAATTATTCCCAGACGATACCTGAAGTATGCAAATCGGTTCTATAATTCTCTATAAATTTAGGGAATTAACGGCAATTTGAGAAGATTGGAGAGCTTTCAGAGGTGATAATTTGATATTGAATGATAGTATATACGGGCCCTTAATATTTGTTAATTTTACTACGGTTACGATATCAACTGCAGGATTTCGATATTTGATTTTAGACAGAACAATCAAACAATCTTGTAACTCGCATCTCGCAAAATGTTACCTTTAAAAGGCGGTTAAACTGTAAAACCTTTTCTCCTTCAAGACCTGCATTAAATCGTTTTGATTCAATGCTTATTTTCTCGATTATCACTGTCGGCAGCAACATGGTTTTTAATTCCAATATTGATTGCACTCAACAAATGAGAGCCATCGTATTTATTGAAAATACTTAGAGAGGTAGAGCTGCTCGTAAGAGGATCAGTGGCTTAGCATACTTTGCGATAAATCGATTGATCTGGCATTTAAACCTATGAAAAAAGATCGATAAACAGAGTATCTGCAACGAACACCTCAATAATCGATTATTTACCACAGCTTCAATTTGGGAAATATCGATACTCGAACATCCACGCCTCGCCACCAATGAAAAGATTATTTATGCAGCGAGGCCCTATGATACTCAAACTTTAGAGGTAACATTTCTGAGAATGAGATTACCTTCTCACTGTTGAAAATAATTAACCGCGCTTTCAGTTAACTTCAAGAAACTTTAGCCGGTGTAAAAACGTTTTCTTGTTTTGCCTCTCTACGGAAAAAACAAACTGCAATAATTAACTTGAGCCCAGTCTGGTGTCTAACTTTTATGCTAGCTAGAAGAAAATTAAAATTTTCACCGGGTTTAAACTAGTTGCATTTTTTTTTTTTGATTAATTTGATTTATATGCTTTGCCAAAGGGTTTTCCACTACGATTTTGACATTGCGGAAGTACTGAATTCAACTTGTCAATTGGACCGTGTTAAGCAGAAAGGAACCAAGCCACATCACATGTGGCCAGATTTAAGTAGGCAATTTAATTCTTTTACACGAGAACGATTGTGCAGATTTTTGTGTTGTCAGTGACGTTTCTGCGTGGCACGAAGCAAATTCTTCAAAATTTTCAAAAGAAATGGACACAAACGTTCTCTTGTAAGAAATTAAATTCCCAAGTTATATTTGGCAATAGCAGATGTGGCTTGGTTCTCTTCTGCTAAACGCGGTCCAAATGTAATATTGTTCAACCTTTTTCTTTGCAAGTCCTTTAATTCAACAAATATGTTCAATCATAACTTTATTATTTTTGAGAGGGGATTGACTCTGAACAGTTTAATTTATACATTTATACAATTCTCTGTCAAAAATACAGAGACTCTCTCTTGCATCATAATCCAGAAAATAATCTCATATTACTCACTTTTTAAACCCAATTAGTTCTCAATAAAATAATATAGAGTTTTTTTCCTGTAAGATATGAGTAAAAAATAAAGTCGTGCCTCAAATTATAGAAAAACTGGTCAAAAGCTCACTATTTCTTGAAGTCCGTAAAACATTGAGATTGCAATCTTAATTGATTAGTGTGCAGTTTGAAGGAAAACCTTTTATTTTAAATATATCATGTTTCCAATAGACTCGATGAAAAATGATGTAATGTCTAGGATCACCCAACTGTTTTCCTTATATTTAATTTTTTTACTCTGATTACGTATGGGAAGACTTCATTTGGCTTTGAGTAAACGTTTTGTTTGTGTTTTTATGTTAATATTCCACTGAACATTATGTCCTTAGAGCGAGATTGTCGTGAAAATAAGGATGTAAAAAACTATTAATGCTTTGCAGCCAGCGCTTAACGTGCATTGGCGCCTACAAACCTAAGTATGCGTGAAGTATCCACTTAGGTTTGTAGGCACCAGTGAGCCTCTCGCGCTGGCAGCACGCCGCTCCGCTCTGTTAGGCTTTCAGATTTGTCTATCACAAAAAGTATGATAACAACATAATCATCTTCCTCCAAGTACTTATTCAATGTATAACTCAAATCAAACGAAATTTCCAGAAAATCCCCAAAAAAATCAATACAGCTACAACTTAAACAGTTATAATGATCATAAATACAAAGTAATAAGAATTAAACTTACACGATTTTCCCATTGCGAGGACAACATTTCGGTCGTAAGCACCGAGTAGGTACTCGGTGCCAGTGAAACAAACATCTGTGATCGTAAGCGCAAAAATAAGGTAGGTCCGATAGGGAACAAATTCTGTCTTATGAATATTTTCCCTTGGAAATTATAACAGCAAGTTTATCAGAATAAATTACGGATAAATTTCCGAAAAAAATTCAAAGCGAAGATTAAAGAGGTGACCCAAAAATTTGCTTTTTACCAGAGGGATTTCGGCAGATAGTTTGAATGCCCAAGCGGTTTTCCCCAAGCCCGGTAGAATACGCTTTCTACACACTTGCTATGGCAGTTTTGTAAGCTGGCAACACTATTCTCCGTCATTTAAATCCAATAGATCGTATTCGATAAATCAAAAAGTCGTTCTATTGATGTGATACATTGATATCGATTGGTTCAAATCAATTATAATGACCTCAAAAGTCAGTTGAGTAATTTGAGGGAGCGAGTTCCTCGAGGTAGATTTTTGATTGTGATGAGTATAAAATGGACTGCATTTTGCAATTTGGAACTATAAATTCTGGCTCCTCTGGAAAAACACTTATGTGCATAGGGAAAATAATGGCATATACGTCGTTTTTAAACCGTTATAGTTCCAAATTGCAAAATGTAATCCAAATTGCAATGAAAAGTGAAGTTGTCAGGAGTTTTCTCATTTTCAGATTTTCTCACTTAAATCCTAAAAATTTTTGTTTGAGGTTATGCTCTATTGTTTTGAACCATACGATACATCGAACCACTATTGAATACGATCTGTAAATGTATCGACAAGTCGCCTCACCGAGAATCGATTGTTTTACATACATTTGAATGGAGGAAAATCGAAGTCACCAACTTTCAAGAATCGCCGCTGCATTCTTGCCGGCTCCTCACATCAGATTAAAAGGGATTGTTAGAGATAGCTCTCTTAACCCGTCGACTGCGCTCCTCTGTCCCCTCGTAGTCGCTCTTTTCAGCCCCAAAAACATCCTCCAAAGCCCCTTCGTCGAGCTGGAAGTCAGGTTCGGGCCCGGAGCGCCCCAGCCGCGCTATTTCCGGTGAGATTGAATCCAACTTCCGGTTTGGGTGTCCGGTCACTGCGCCTCCGTCGCTTCCTTCCGCCCGCGGCTGGTCCGGCCATTTCCGGTCCGCGAAGACCGGCCAGAACAGGACGATGATCAACGCGATTGAGGTTAGGAAACAAAGGTGTCGATTGGTTTTCATCGGGAAGCTTGATCTTACAACTCGTATCGTGTGATATACGCTGAAAAAAATTATAGTGACGGCTACTTTAAGTCCACTTTATTTTTTACACAGTGATACTATTTAGTGAAAATTATTGCTCCCTTTTCCCGGAACTAGCTCCGAATTCCGGAACTTAAGAGATTTTCCTGGATTTTTACCGGAACTATTGAAATCCCCAAATTGTTTCGGATCTTTTGCATTTCCCAGAACTTTTGAAATATCTAAAAGGAATCCCGGAACTTTTGACGGCCATGGAGTGGGAGACTTGCAACACAAAAGGTCCGACGGATACGGAATGGGTGCGCTGGTGAAAATAACCAGAATTATAGTGGTTTTCACCAGAACTAGGGTGAATCTTACCACAATATTGTAAATGCCACTATACAATTTGGTGTTCATTACCATATTCAGATCACTGTGTCAGAGTATGGTAAAATCTACTATATTTTGTTTCAGAGTATGGATCCATGGATTAATGACCGATGTAGTTCAGGCAATCAGGCAAGTTAAGTTTTTGGAACTGTCTCACAGTATTGAATGTAGGAGACCTATAGAAAGAATTATCAATGATGTATTCGGATCTGGTATATCTGGTAAACTCTGCAATGCACTCCTAACTTAACAATCAGCGTAAGAAATTTGCGTTTTCTAAAGCTTCTCGCTTCAAAAAGGATACTACAGCACAGGTAAATGTTTCGTTAGAGGAGTCGTTACATTCAATCCCTATGCTCAACATGGCCGACGCTTCCGCGCGCAAGTTGAGGTGAGCGCGAGGTCAATCAAGGTGGATATCTATCAACGCGAGAAAAATGTGAAGTAAATGCCGATTATTGTTATTAGGTGGTTAGAAACATCGTCCCGTCACATGTGTTTTGGCGGATTGGCGTCGGCTATGTTGAATATTGCGTATTATCCTTGTGAGCAGGGGTTGAATGGAATGACTCCTGTAACGAAATGTTCACCTGTGCCGTGGTATCGTTTTTTGGGCGGGAAGCTCGAAGAAACGCAAATTTCTTATGCAAATTGTGAAGCAAGGAGTCAGAATTTGCCGATGCACTCATCGTGATTTTTGAGACACTTCCTATGAGTAAAAACTCTTACTTTTGCTCCAGCAAAATTTTGCAACAGGCCCATTCCGAAAAACTTTAAGAGAAAAGTTTTGAGGAAACGTGCGCTTCCACTGATTATCAATAAAAACCGGCTGATCAATGTTGCAAATTGAGGTTAACGATATAACAATCGGTTCCTTACTCATCATTAATGCGATTTGGTTATTAGAGATGTTTGAGGTTATATCACTGTAAAAGACCAATGCTGAGGTTGACAGAATGTAATACCGCGGGTTCTTGTTGATCTCACATGTTAAATGTCTAGTTCGAGGACATTGAACGCAGAATCGAAGCTCACTTTTAAGGTCAAACTGTGCACTGATAAAAAAAGTTACTCCTCGTTAATAGCGAAAGACAAAGACTAACTTAAGAATGCCATTAATATCTCCTTTTTACACAAACAAACAAGTTCGTTTTGTTTTTTCGGTTGCCATGAAAACAGTTTCACTGCGAATTTCATAACGTAGTTCGTAATTTTTATTTTCCCCTATTTTTTTAGCCTTGGGGTGATAAACTGCCTACAAGAGATATTGTTGAATGAGAGTGTATTGATTAACCACTAATTGGATTAACTTTGCAAAATGGAACCAAGATTATTCCAATTTTGCAACTTTTTTACCTTACAATTATAAACTAGGTAATCATTTGATAAAGTTTTATCTTTACTCCTAATAAACTATACATTTAATAAAAAAATTATATACCGTTGTTAATTTTTTTTTTTTTTTACGATTTCAGTAAAGTAATTTTATTGCAAAGAATTTACGTTGCACAATTCTAGCAACATTGGGACACTCTTGGTTTCTTTTTGCAAAATGCAATCCAATTAATGTGTCGGCGATAAGATGTGTGATCAATAGAATTGCCTGTTGCTGTCATTGGATGAGGTTTCTTCCCATTAGACCCAAATATATGTATCAGGAATAAATACTGATTAAAGATGCGAACTGAACTGCTGCAGTTTGTGTGCAGTAAAGCAAAACGCCTTCAAAGTTTTTGCATATGCAATGCGGACATCCATCAAGCACGAATAGTTGAAACAAGACGCTGATATCGACGCGTCCTCGCGTGGATCGAAAAATACTTCCACTGTTTGTGGGCAATACAGCCGAACGCCTTCAGTTTTTTTTGCATATCAACAGTGAAATTGCAGTAACGCGTTTTTTTGAGGGGAAAAATCTTTAACTTCGTTCCTCGGAAATTCCTCAGATTTTTCTTCTCTGTGTGCAGAATAAATTATGAGAGTTGAAGGAATAGTTGATGTCTTTGATTTTTTTTTGGGGGGGGGGGTTCCAGCCAAGGGGGGGTGTAAAGAAACCGGTTACAGGACATTTCGTCAACGATTTTTAGTCCGCGAACCTGTTTTTTCCAGTAATTTACGTCCACGCGTTTTTTCGGCACGGGAGTTTTGGTCCTCGTGCCAGTTGAGACCCAAAGTTAATTGGCCCACATGTAAATACAAACGACAATTGCTCACGACGTTTTTGGATGAAAATGTATAATGTCTTGGAAGAACGAGGGGTTGCTTGTTTTTTTGTTTTGTCTGTTTGGTCCAACGAAGAATAGTATGTAGTTGAGAGTTTTGGTAAAAATGGGGGAGTGTCAATTCCATGAGACACAATTCACTAAAACTCTCCACACCTCTGTGGTGTGACAGGAATAATCTTACAAGAAATTCCCACCTTGTTATACATTTTTTTTTTTTTTTTTTTTTTTTTTTTTTTTTTTTTTTTTTTTTTTTTTTTTTTTTTTTTTTTTTTTTTTTGCTATTCAAATAGCCCTCAAGGGCTAATCCCACGCTTTAAGTCCCATCCCCCCTCCGTCCCTACTGAACCAGTCCCAGGCAACCATTGTTTGAGACCATCAAACTCGGGTCGCCTGGCCGGGAATCGAACCCGGGACCTCCCGATTATAGAGCAAGCGCTACAACCACTACACCATAGGAGGCCGACATACATAACTGACACGACGACCGACGATACATGAACTGGATAAACTTCTATATTTGCCTCCGCTAAACGCTCTTAGATTTTTCCTGTGTACGATAAGTATCTTCATTTATTTTGCGAGGAAGGATCTGTACTTTTAAAGGATGCCTGTCATTCTTGATACGTTCAATTTCGTATAACACTGTGCAACACCTCTGTTGTGAAATAGTTGCTTCAGGCGCCGCCGCACGGCGGGCGGGTGGCCAGCGCCTACAAACCTAAGTGGATACTTCAAGCATTGTGCAATGCGAGAAGTATCCACTTAGGTTTGTAGGCGCCCGTGAGCCTCTCGCGCTGGCAGCACGCCGCGCCGCGCGTCGCTCCGCTCTGCTAGACTTTCATATGTATACTCGCATAGTCAGCGTTTTTAACTCATGATTTTGAAATGTTAGCACACTCTGCATTGATTATTCTTATTTAAATTGATGGGGAAAAATATGTATCAATATATCAAAGAGAATAATAATATAATGTGTGTTTTTTTTTAAGTATTGGTGGTTCCGTGTCAATTTAATGATTCCGGAAGCAATTTAATTTTTTCTTTCACATTTTGTGCTTTTATTGTGCTGCAGCGAGGTGTACGCGCAACAAAACGATCAACATTTGACGTATTTGACTCTAAAAGATCGATGTACAAATGGGTTAAAACTAAAGATTGCGTGCTTCTTGGTTTTTTTTACCTCTTTTATTCATTTTTGCAGTTTCTGTCGGCACAACTGCGGCTCATTGGGATTAATGTCGCTTGGAAAAGGTTTTACAAATATTTGTCACGTCTTAAAAATATAAATGTTTTCAAAATGAAGTAATAATTCCGCAAAGAAAAAATAAAACAAAAGTACCTATACATATAAGGTATATTGTACATCGGATATTTTAAGTATAGAAATAAAACCAAATATTGACTAATGACAATTTAAAAAGATGATTCAAAAGGAGAAAGTAATAACATTTCATTCAGAAAATGAGCAACCATAACAACACCTCTTTCTCTCTCAATTTCTCATTTCCATATATATTGTCAATATAATTGTACATACGGACTAAAATATAATGCTTGGACCAAGTCACTGTTGTTTATTTTACGTGCGGGCGTAAACTACTGGACAAAAAATCGTTGACGAAATGTCCTGAAACCAAAGGGACCTATTCATTGGCCTCAAAAATATTTTAATGCATCTAGTGGAGAGATACCACAAGATGGGACGTAGGAAACTACTTATTCATAGATCACGTTTTGGATTACTATTCCTCTTTCGCTGTTTGCACAGGACAGGGAATGCTACGTATGCAGCAAAAGAGGAAAAGTAAATTGAAACGGGCTCTTACGCTTTTTGCTTAATGCACTCTGTAGCACACCTGAAAGTGCAAAAAAGTGACACTTAAATCATGCTATTAAAGGACATCATCCAGGCGACGCTATTAGTGATGACTGACGGAAGAGGGAGAAAAGGGAGAACAGTACGCGAAACCAGTGAATATAGTGGGTGGGAGTCTAATAAATACACATCACTTTCATACAGAAAATTCAGTAGACTGCTGACGTATGTTTGAGAAAAATTACTTAATTTACAATTATTGTTGTAATAATATAATGAGGCACTCGATGCCTTTAAAAACCATTCTTCAATTCTACAAGAGAAAATGAAAAAGAAAATCGATATGCATTGACGTATAATTTTGCACGGGCTTTAAAGGGTTTTATAACATATGCACTGGAAAAAAACACGTTTGATCTAGAGCCCAGACTCTTAAAAACATCTACAAGAAAGAATACTCTTGATTCAATCAGATTTGTTGAGCTTAAATCAAGAACCCAGCCTCTCATTTGAGCGGATTTCTTTTTGATTTAAGCTGAAATCTGATTAAATCAAGAGTCCTTTTTCTTGTCAATGTTTTCAAGAGCGTCTGGACTCTAGATCCAATGTGCTTTTTTCCAGTGTGGAACGCGTTAAGCAGAAAGAAACCAAGCCAAATCAGCTATTGCCAAATTCAATCGGGCAATTTAATTTTTGACGTGAAAACGGTTGTGCGGACTTTCATGCAAGTTTCGATGAATTTTCTGCATTATACGAAGCAAATTCCTAAACATTTTCACAGGAGTCCGTACAAACGCTCTCTTGTGTAGCAGTAAATTGCCCAATTAAATTTGGCAATAGCTGATGAGGCTTGGTTCCTTTCTGCTAAACGTGGTCCATATGATCAATTAAACAAAATTCCACGTGCATCTCGATCTTTTAACTTGCCTAAAACATCCAATATGATCGGCTCAAAGGTAAACTGATCAAAATCTTTCACAAGTTGGTAGAATCTCCGTCAATATTAAAAAAATCTCCCCCCAGAATTTGATGTAGCTGTACGCTCGTGCCGTTAACTTTTCTGTTATTCGCTTATTTTCGGTGGAGCGGTATTTTGCATGGTCCGCTTCCACCACAAAAACCCGTCGGCTTTTCGGCGCGGAATATTCAAAACAAGCATTAGAAGGGCGGGAGAGGGGGAGTAGGGGGGAGAGGCTTACGCCGGCACAAAGAGCTTTCAAAAAGTATCAAGATTAGGCCTTCGGATTACGCTTCAAATGTTTTTATAATATAGCGCTCGGAATTTTCGTTTTTTCCCCGGCTTTTTCGGGAGGAGGCCGGCAAGCAACGGGGTCAGTGTACAAATGAGTTTGATGTTGCGTCGCGTTTAACTGGCAGGGACGTAACGCTGCCGAGAGGGAGGTGGAGGAATAGCCATCAATTGAAGCCCCCCTCCCTCCCCCCTCCCCCCGGGCATCATATTACCATCCCCCTGCAGCAGTTTAGCGATTCGACTAAAAGCCGCCTCTAATGCCAATGTCAGGGGCGTGTTGCCAACTGGCACGTTCGAACAATGCGTTGATTCGTCAATGTCGAAACGGAGGCACTGTTGCTCTCGAGAGTGGACAATTTTTCACCCCTTCGTGAGAGAGCGCGCGCTCCAGCACCGATAGAACGGTAAAGTCGACGATAAAACAGCAGTGGCGTGGCGTGCTTTGCGATATATCGATTGATCGGTCATTTAAACACATGGAAAAGGATCGATAATCAGGGTGTTCGCAGCGAACACCTTAATAATCGACTCTTTACCATGGGTTTCAATGGTATAACAATCGATGTATCGCAATTCACGCCACGCCTTTGAAAAACAGCCAGTGGCGAGGCGGGAATGATCGACATTCGACATTTCCCCATTTGAGGCCATGGTAAAGAATCGATTATTTCGGCGCTCGTCGCGAATACCCTGTTTATCGATCCTTTTCCATGGGTCTAAATGGTAGATCAATCGATAATCGCGCCACTGTAAAACGCGAATTCCGTATCTTGCCACAGACTTCTTGTCAGAATTGAAACGTTTACTTTCCAAATATCATA